TCTGCGAGCCATTAAAAAAAAACGAGCGACGCGTACCTCGCGCGCAGTGAAGCGAACGATCCAACGTAGCGACAGGCTTAGGGGCAGATAATTTCACACAACTTGTTTTTTACGAGTTGTCTTTTTACGAGTTGTCTTTTTACGAGTTGTCTTCGTTTACCCAACAAAAAGTGAAAAGATAAAATCGATAGCAAGATTTGAATGCAAACAAACAGACAAAGACTAAAAAGTAGAAAATAATAATCATTAAAAAAGTTTTTAAAAACCCACGTTTTCTGATTGAACTAAAAAGTAGAAAATAAATGCTATACATCACAATAATGCAAGCGATCACTCTACTATAAGCGATCAAAAACGTGGGGCGCCGTGATTTTCTTAAAGTTTCTAATACTGTTGACTCTCTACAAGCTCCCTAATGAAAGTCAATAGTATTATCTAATCAATAGTAATATAACTTTTACTTCGGCGCCCCACGTTTTTGATCGCTTATAGTAGAGTGATCGCTTGCATTATTGTGATGTATAGCATTTATTTTCTACTTTTTAGTTCAATCAGAAAACGTGGGTTTTTAAAAACTTTTTTAATGATTATTATTAAAATGTTATATTGTTTGATAAGTAAAATTAAATTTTAGAGAGGTTAATGAGTTACGGTTTTGGTTGCTATATCAGCATAAAAAGCATAGATGCAGCCGTTTGGATAATACAGTGATGTACGAGTGGTGCTTGCGGGTTGATGTGGCTAGGACGGGGGTCGGCAACCAGCGGCTCGCACAGAGGCGTAGCGATGTGGGGGGGGGGGGGGGGGCAGGGGGGACATATGTCCCCGGACGCCGACCTTAGGGGGCGCCAAAATGGGTTGGAAAAAGTTTGAAGGGGGGTGCAAATCGAAATTTTGTACCCGGGCGCAGGGAAGGGTCGCTTCGCCTCTGGGCTCGCGAGCTGCATGCGGCTCTTTTGACGTACAGATGCGGCTCTCCAGTTCCTTGCACAAATATTAATAGTTATATAATTTCATTTTTACTGGACGGTGGGGTACGACTTTACCCTGCGTTCAGTGGGATAGAAGATAAGCCTTATGAGAACCAAAGGATAGAAGCGTACAATGCAAGTTATTCAAACCGATATCCAAGCAAGTTCGTCGGCGTTTGCCGTGTTGATGCCTGACTGCAGAGGCGTAGCGGGGGGACGGGGGACGACGACATATGTCCCCGGGCGCCGACCTTAGGGGGCGCCAAAATGGGTTGGAAAATTGAAATTTTGAGGGGGGGGGGGTGCTAATCGAAATTTTGAGGGTGGTCGGGGGGTTTGCAGATCGAAAATTTGAGGAGGGGGGGGGGGGTGCAAATCAAAATCTTGAGGGGGATGCTAATCGGAAGTTTGTCCCCGGGCGCCGGGAAGGGTCGCTACGCCTCTGCCTGACTGGCTAATGGGAGACACCTCCTGAGCAGGTGATATCCGTAAAGAAAAAATAAAATAAAAGTTAACAGCATCTAAAGTGGATCGAGATAGTCCTAGAATAATATTATTTGATTACTAATTTTACTACTCTGGCGAAACATGTCTATGTTTTTATATGAATGAATATTATTTCATATTTAAAGCTATTTATTTTAAATAACAAATCAAATTTTATTACCTAATCCTAATCAAATACCAAAGTACTGAACTAAAAATTGTGGCTCTTTAAAAACTGGGAAATTTTGTTGTAACTTTTGGCTCTTGCTTATCAAACGGTTGCCGTGTTTCTTCCAGACTTTTTTCTCCGGGGGGGGGGGCGGTGGCACTTGAAATTTTCGGGGGGGGGGGGGGGGTGACTTTCTTCGGGGGGGGGGGCGGACACTGTTAAAAGTATATATTTTCTATATATATTATATACTTTCATTTCTTTAGGGGGGAGGAGGGGGGAGATGTCTGGAAAAACTCTGTGGGCTAGGAGAATGAGTTGGGTGTGGATCGGTAAATTGTTGAATTTTTTTCAGATTTCTGTTTTTGTGTCGTAAGGTCTATTTTATGGTGGTCGGCGCTGTTATTTTAATGTATTGAATTCTCATTAATTAAACTATGTCTCTCTTAGAACCCTTCCAAAAACATGAAGATTACAATTGCGCCTCTTTTCTTACACACTCCTTGTAGAAAGATAATGATGCTGTCAGCTGCTTATTCATTTTGCTTTAATTGCTTTAAGGGGATATGCAAGTGTAGCACTATAGTATAACAAATCATTAAATCTCTTTTCCCAAGATGGTACCTTTAAAAAAGATTTACCGTGGCGGAGAACGGGTATGTAGTTAGTATATAAATATATATATATATATATATATATATATATATATATATATATATATATATATATATATATATATATATATATATATGTATATATATATATATGTATATATATATATATATTTATATATATATATAAATATATATATATATATATATATATATATATATATATATATATATATATATATATATATATATATATATATATATGTATATATATATATATATATGTGTGTGTTTCGGTTTATCTCTTTTTGAAATTAAATCACATCTACAACATATCAAATTCACTATGTACTTTTGTAGAATCTTTCCTTTTTATTTGATGTATAAAATTATCGGTGTTGATGTCTTTTTTTAAAATGTCACAAACGAGTTTTCAACTTAAAAAACAAAAACAAATGATGCACACAATAAATTATAAAAAAGTTAATCAAAAGCTATTTTTTTTTTAATTTTTATAGTCGACTATAATATTTTAAATACTATGCATATTTTGCCATGAGATATTTAGTTTGAGATCGATTGTCCATAAAATCTTTTGTCCTGGTGTATTTGTATACATATATCATTTTTCCATGAGATCATTTGTACTTAAATATTAAGTTCTGAGATAATTTGTCTCATAGTTATTTTGTAATGGATATTTTGTTTAACATTAATTGTTCTGAGATAATTTGTCTAATATATAAAGCTCAAACGGATTCAGTGTCTCTGAATGTATGTGACAGCGACATGACCCGGGGCAAGACATGCATATAATTAAAATCTCCACTTGTTCTTAATAGTGGAATATTCTTAACCGTTTATTATCTAAAATTAATGATTAAAAAATTAATAAGGATGGTTTTGTAAAAAATAATTTCCAAACGTATGATTTTAACTTTCGTCATGAGGAATAAATAAATACAAAGAAAATGTAGGCATACCATTCTTCACACACATTTTAAAAACATACAAATTACTTTCCTTTTTTTCCTTAATTGACAAATACTTTTCTTGATAGACCACTAAAAACAAATATTACTTTAAAAAAAAAACATCTGTAAGGGACAAAAACAAAACAAACGAAAATTATTTGGTTCTTTTTTTTTTAATTGGTATTTTAGACTGTTTTTTTTTCTTTCATTTTTCTTTACTTTAATTACGCATGAGTAGGATTGTAAAAATAAAGAGATTAGAGCTATTAATGCTAATGTCGAATTTTCGCAAACCAATTCCTGTTGCTAAATGTTGAATAATGTATACATTTTAAAGATGGATATTCAACGAAGTCCCTATTTCATGTAAATATGCACACAAAAAAAGTTTTGTTTTATAGTTAATTCGACTCTCAATTATATTTTGGATGGAATTTTGTACTAATTTTTACAAAAATACCTAAGGGGAATTCAGCTAATTGGGCAAAAGACAGATGTGCTAGTTTATTAAGAAACAATGATCGCATTCAGGGAAACTCTTTTAAAAAAACAAAAGACAATCGTGGAAATTACTTTCAAGCTTTTATCGAATTATCGCATTACTTATTTATATTTACAGATCTAACACTGACTGTGTGAATAAAACTCTCCGTAAAATCCTCTGTACGTATTGTTACTGTTCGTTGTAAAAGTGACCAACAGTTTGTTTGTTGACGATACAATGACTGCTGAGACTCCCCGACCACAAATTCGCTCAATCTTTCGAGCATTCCTAGTATCTCCGTCGTACACAGTAATTTAGTCTGTGTCACAAGACTCGGTTTCTACAAACGATGGACTATAAGCAAAATTAAGTTTTGAGAACAAGGAGATTATGTACAATGTCACGGACTAAATTGGTGCTAAGTTTTAATAAGATAATGTTATTAAGACCCACTTTAGAAATATAGGTTTTGAAAGGTAAGATGCTAGTGTCCATGACAATTCTTGATAAATCAAATATTTTAAGGGATATTGAGGACTTGCCAAGTTGCCTGATTCATTAAGTGTACAGTTTCTCTCTGATTTGCATATTATTGGGAAGTATTAGACATTTTGGGTTAAAATAATGTGAGAACACTAATGTAATTTATTTATTCTAATTAAACAATATGCCTGCCAATTTATTTTTGGTTAAAATTTGAGACTTGCATTTAGCTATTTAAAAAATGTAGGCTATTGTCATTTTAATTATGTTAATACATCCAATAAGTAATAATAATAATAATACAGTATTAATAGATTATTAAGATTCAACGTATTTAGGTACACTGCTTGATATCAATCAACAATGTTTCAACAGGAAATTTATATTAAAAATAAAACCTAACGTTCATTAAAAAGGTAAACGAATAAATAGTTTTAAAATATATTTTCGTTAAATCAACAAAAAACTTCACCTCTTATCTCATAATTTCCATAAAAGCCTTTGTATTTGTAGGAACCATTCGTTTTCAACACAACAAACATGGAGTTTTCCGTTGAAGCCATTAACCCTGGAGGTACTGACGAGCAGAAATTTCCAAACATCGAAGAAAATATTGCGGGTCCGTCATATATTCTTAGGTAACCATACTGGCAATCTGCCCCAAAGTCTGAAATACTGGGAAAGGCGAAATCGCTTGTAATTTAAACCTGCTGTGATTGTATTAGAACTAACTCTTGCAAACAATTTTATTCTCAAATATTGGGCACATACTAACATACGGGGCTTTAGTTTACAAAAGGTAAATTTTAAAACAACGGCAACTTACTTGAGGACGATATAACTGTCAGCTTTGCCCTGTATAGTCCAGGTGTATATCATGTTGTCAAGTTTGCCAAATGGATAACCAGGGCTGGAGATGTTACCTTGAGACTCGTTCAGTGTGGTGTGGTTATCTGTGGTGGTCACATTTAACTTATGTCAGTTTTTCTAACAGCTTTAAAGACTTATAGTTTGATTAATTTCTAATAGATATTTTATAGTATTGATGAAGTAAAAAAATGTATGTATTTTAAATATAAATTACAACATCAGAAAACTATATTCAATATGAAAATCAAATTCAAATCACATTAGAGAATAAACTATACAACGCCCTAAATATTATTTCTATGTCTAAGCGATCTCATTAAATATTATCTCCTTTTTTATTAAAATGTTTTTTAGGTTTTAGGTTTGCTTTTTCAGAACAGTCTTCATATTCCAAAGCATTCTTAACAATATTTTAACGATCTAGTTCAGGGGTCTCCAAACTACGGCCCGCGCGCCGGGAGATCTTTTTGTTAACGAAAAAAAATGTTTGTTGGAGGTGGCTGGGGAAAAATGAAAATAAAAATAAAAATGTAGCATTTGCAAAAGTAGCATTGGCAACTGTGTTGCAGACATTGATGAAATCAGTGTGAATCAAATAGCGAAAAATTCAAGTTTTGACATTTTTCAATTGCAACTTATGAGTCTCTGGACAGCTGTTCAATCTATCAACTGCTTGTGTTCACTAGAGATGTGGATGAAGACGAGAAAATAACACAAGAGCTGGCTCCCCTACATAACATGCATGGCACTGTTACCGGACAGGATATATTCAATGAATTTTTACAAATGCTGATTATAATTTGGCCTGGACTAACTCCTGTTACCTAACTGTCGGAGGAATGTACATGAGTGTTATATAGAAAGACTTGGATTGACAACCGATTGAGAAAAACATTCTACAACCAATGTTCCTGCACTGTTTTATTCATCAGCACTTGGACATTAGCAGTGTACTGAATCTGGTGTTGAAAATGGTGAAATTAATAAGGTCACATGGGCTCATCCATAGATATTTCAGAGACATGTTGAAAGAAACAAACACATTATCGCAAGAATTACCATATTTCACAGCAGTAAGATAGCTAATTTGTGTGATAGTTCTGAGCAGAGTATTGAAATGTATATATATAAATATATATATATATATATATATATATATATATATATATATATATATATTTAATATCGTTCGGAGGGGGAACACGGTATACGTTCTTAGAGATGCACGGAAGACACTTTGGACCCCGAACTAATATTTGATAGTTAATGCGGCCCTCGGGCTGAAAAGTTTGAAGACCCCTGATCTAGGTTATTCGACGTGTTATGCTACATTTACTATACAATTGCTTTTTGTTCGATTAATCTTGTTATATGAGGATCATTTTACACAAATGTAAGGCAAAAAGTACGTGGACAAAAAGTCGAATATTAAAAAAATATTTGATTTGATTTGATTTTAAACTCTGTTTTTAAGGGACAAAAACTAAACAAACGAAAATAGTTTGGTTCTTTTTTTTAATTGGTATTTTAGACTGTTTTTTTCATTTATTTTTTTTACATAAATTACGCACAAGTAGGATTGTAAAAATAAAGAGCTTAGAGCTATTGATGCAAATTTCGAATTTTCGAGAAGCAATTTCTGTTGCTAAATGTTGGAAAATATACACATTTTAAAGATGGATATTTAATGTCCCTGTGGTGGTCACATTTAACATGTCAGTTGTTTGAACAATTTTGAAGACGTATTGTTTAATAAAATCTCAATATATAATATTTCATAAGATTGATGAAGTAAAAATGAATTTTAAATTTATATTACAATAATCTAAAACTATATTTAAAACTAAAATCATATTAAATCACATTAGAGCAAAATCTATGTAGCATCCAATGAATTCATATCTTCTTCTTATATATTTTACTCAATCACTATTTTTAAAAAAAAGCTTTGTTTTTATAGCAATGTGCTGTTGTCATATTTTATTAATTAATTCCATTAATCAATGCCAGGTTTGATATTAATACAATTTTGTAGACATGTAATTCCAATAAATAATGTTAAAAATTACAACAGGAATACAAATTTAATTTCAAATTTCCTTTACAACTATTAAGTTAGAGCTAAATAGAAAATTAGAAAATTTAATAACTTGAAAATATAAAATTATTAACTGGCTGTCAGTCTTCCAGCTATCAGGTGAAAGAAGAGATTGTACATTCGTCCATCCTTCAAACTAACAGACATTGTTCTTTCATTTTAGTTTAAAATTGAATCTAATACCTTTCAAAATTATAATCAACATTAGATTTATGGATAACGTAATTTTTTTAGATACAGCATGGGACAAATGTGTCACTATTTTCCAGAAGGGAACATTTATCGATAATAGGCTGAGTTATGAATAATATAATTTTTTTTTTATTTCAAAATGGTTAATGGTTGCTCTGTTTAATTCGAAATGAAAAATGTATGTAATGAGAACACACATATGTCCCTTATGAGTGTATAGGCATCTAAGAATTGAGCTTCTGAAAGAAGTTATATGATGTTCTATAACATACATGAACGTGTCAGACCACGCTGTCAGTTCTGTTCTCATATACAGTTCGCTCTTACTTATCAGACCTATTTTCTTTTAACACAAAATTAAATCGTCGTCTTAATTTACCGATCCCATATACAACTTTTTTTCCAAAAACATAGCTTCGTCTACTCTGGTTCTAGTTTGTGGAACAATCTTCAAAATAAATAAAACTATCTTGATCTGAAAATATATTCAAAACTAAACTAAATCAACAATTATTAAATGACCTCTATAACTGACTCATTGAAACATTTCTCATTAATCTATTATATTCTTATTTAATCTCATTTTGTATTAAAACTATGTAATGTTATATCTTTATAACACATTTTTAGTACTATGTTACTGTCATGTAGTTACTTTGCTATTGCTTTTTTAAATGCTGTTTTTAAATTAATTTTTGTTTTATTTGTTTATTTTAAAACGGCCAATGTGAAAAATAGCCTCCATGCCTACTATTGTTACCGTAAAATAATAAATGAATAAATAAAATAAATTCTTCTCACTTACACATTGCCACACCTCATGTGTTTTTCTTTTTTTAGTTATCATATTACATTCAGATTGTGGGGTTGGAGAGAAATTCTTGTCGCATTTAACAGGTCTATAGGTGATCCTTCCTTTATGTAATCCATAAATGAGAGCTTGTGCTATCATTTGTCTGTGTTTACACTGGGTTATTTTATTGAATGAATGACAGCGTTCGTGTCTCTCGCTAACGTATAATTGCCATTTTGATTTCAGAAATATATATATATCTTGGCATCGCATTAGCAAGTTATGACATCTTGAGATCAGGTTCAGTAAACCAGAAGTATCAATGTTGAAAGTGTATGATAACCATCGCTAATTTTATTCCTAAAAATTCATGTTTCTTATAAATCAGTTTTTAAGGGTATTTTTATATGTTTTTACTTTCTCGATTATACGAAGTATAGAGAAAGTCGTGTAATCGTGCAAAAAAATGAATCAAGATTTATATAAATCTCGACGTTTTACACCTCACTGATACGGAAAAACATAATTTTGCAATCTTGTCCGTATGTCTGTGTGTGTGTGTGTGTCCGCGTGTAAACACGATAACTTGAGTACCGTTACAGCTAGGTTGATGAAATTTAATCTATAAGTATTTTATCAAAATCGTAGATTCGTATCGACTTATGAGCGATTTCCGATAACCGGAAGCGGTACTTTTTTTACTTTGAATTTTTCAAAAGCCTATAACTTGAATACTATTTCAGATAGATAAATGAAATTTGATATGTAAGTAAAAGATCTAATTCTCTACCTTCTATCAAATTTTTAGTAGTTTTCGTTGACCGGAAGTACTAATTTACGCTATTTCTGATTTCTCAAAAAACGCATGTAAATTTATAAAGTACTAACAATATTGCGCAATATTCTTTTTCTACTAGATTTTTTTCTATTTTTAAAAGTTTAAGTAAACAAAAATCATGTCTATATTCCGAGTTGACATCCCACGTAGTGTTATATTAGAATATTCGAGAAAGTTTAGGGAAGATCACTCCCGGTTTATTTTTTTACAGTTCATATGGTCGACAATCTGAGATACCATGTTTTCTAGATATTTATTTTAATATGCTTAAAAAGCATTGAGAAGTCAATGACAATCAACATATAATGTTATCTTCCCAAAAATTGTAGACAAATAATGTTTTCCGATGTCTCCACTCGAAAACAATAACTTGCTCTAGTCTCCTTTTTCAAACCTCATGACGAGGTTTGGTTGTTCGTGGTTTGGGCAAATCAAGGTGTACTGATGCTAAAGATACGTGTCAGCTTAATCTGTTTGAGAGTTTTAAAATCGTCTATAATGGCTCCCTATAAGGGGGGTAGCTAGTGTGCGTCGCGTATTTTATGCGCGCTGTGTTTTTGAAGTCTTATGCAAGGTTGTGTGTATTTTACATAATGACTGCACGGCAAGCTCAAAACTACGGAGCGACAGGTTCAAAATTACAACACGGCCGCGGGACCGCGCAGCCCAAAGGGAACATTGATTTATGAGATGTATGCAAAACAAATTCACCAGAAAAAAGATGAAAGCCTTATGTAGTAGTTACAGTCGTTACATTATAACTTCCACATAGATTTTGTCGACATTTTTGTCTATAAAACTCTTCATTAAGAACAAATTGTTAACATTGTCATTATTGTCTATAAACAGAATTTGCTCAATTTTTTTCAATGATAGAAAATAAAGGCTCTGCGACTACTTCTATTGAAAACATTAACATTAGCGATACCTATTTAAAAATTGGTTCCTTTCAGGAACATATGGACCATATGGACATAATATCCAAAGCAACACATTTATTTTTTTCGAAAACACATGTCAATATAATACCCAAATATAAATCGTTGAAAAAACACCAGTAATTTCACTTTTTTGAACTTATAATTTTTTCATATAAAAATTTAAACTTTTGCTCTGCGAGTGATCTAACGCTAAAATGTTCCCATAAATATATAATACTGAAACCAGAATTATTTTATAAAGTCTATTTTATAATACATGTTTTAAAGGATATTGGACAGATCTAAGTTATTTAAATTTCGTTTGATATTGATTTAATGTGTTTAGACAAATATATCTCTTGGTCCCCAAGAGTTTAAGCAACGTTTATACAAGCAATATTTCGTGAGGCACATTAAGGTGATGAAAGGCGGTACACATCCAAACGCTGGCCATGTGGGTAGGGATGGGGGGGACCAAAGGAGCGGCGTTTTTTGAGAACACTAATCGAAGTGATTTATTAGGATTTAAAGTAAATCAAAGCACTGCCCGTATATGTATTCAACTGCCAAAAAAAGTTAGCTCCCTTCCGGACCGTAGGGATTTACTTTGCAAATTCTTCTTTTGGTCAGTAATAGCCGTGTTTTTCTTTTTGACAAAGACAATACCTTCTTTAGACAAACTAAATAACGAGTATATATCATTGTCATCTAAAATCCATTAATTTTTATTCCAGTTGTTACAAACATTGACACTAAGTCTATTGAATCTGTATTTATTGTTTCAGATCTTTAGGTGAAAATTTTAAGTATATCAGGTATCCTCGTATCTGAAAACTGCGTCTGACGGTGTTTTGTGTACTATGGCTGCATCTTCCCCCGTCCCCAACCCCGACTCTGTTCCTTGCAGTATTGTCTTAGAAAAGCTACTCAAAAAGTCCCTAGTCCATAAAATATGAGTGTTTTAGCCCAGACAAATAATATGCAAAGCTTCACAAGAGTCAATAGCGTCAATAAGCATTTAATGGACTTCATCATGTTTGATATTATCTGTGTACGGAATTCAGAGGCGTATGTGCAAACATCAGACATCTTATTACTAGGACCTCGAATCCTCTCTAAAGGTCAGCTTTGTGTATCCATTTTCGCCCTGATGTAGTCACCTCCCTATCTGAACAGTTTTTTAACCAAACCTTAGGAAAATTAAAATGTTAAGTAGTAATTTTTGGATAGGAAAATTTATTGTGGCGTTACAATAGAAATTTCACAATCCCCTTTTCTGATATATGTAACTCAAGCTCCCGTAAATGTCGGGATTTATATATCATTTCCCACTGTTGTTGTAAGAACGCGGTGATTCATACTTTTCAAGTAAATCATGACCATTAAAAGTATTCTCCTCAGATTATTTCTAGTATTAGTCTGCTGGTTGAATTTGCAGATCCTCTTTATTATTATAAGTGTAATTCTTACTTCTTAGATATTTAAAATGTAAATGTATTCAAATAATATAATAAGTAAATATAGTATTTAGCTTAATTCATAATTGAATTCATACTATTGAATACACCAATATCAACTTTAAACAAAAAAAAAACAACTGTTGATATAATCATCAACGTGTTTCTAGCTAGCGACAAATAAGTACAACAAACAACATAAGGTCATATGTTGCTAGCGCGCCAAGAATGAAACGCTTTTTTTACACTTCCTATAGCAAAAAATAAGTTTTAAAAAAATTAAAAAATTCTTACGTTTTGAAGATATATACAAATGGCTTGCTGCACTTTTCAAAATAGTTTTCCACTTTAAAAACCAATACTTAAAAATGTGTGTATAAACAACATTAGGCCATATGTTGCAAGCACGCCACGAATGAAATGCTTGTTTTACATTTCCTATAATGCTACACATTACAACAGAATTTTCCGCTTGAAATTCCAATAGTTTTAAAAAGTTGAATATACCCGAGATTAAAATTTATTTTTTCTATTAACTTTTATTTGCTTAATTTTTTATCACAAAGAACACACAAATAGAATAGTCCAACCTTTCTCAAATATAATTGGACACTATTTGTTCTGAAAGAGGTGTTATAAGTTTTAGCAAAGTGTGTGTTTACAAACAAGACACAGCAGGATATTGGTTGCGGGAGCTGTGTAACCCAGACAAATGAAAATTGACGATACGATGCGTAGCTAGTAGTATTTTCTTCCAGAAGTTTCGATTTATTTATTTTAAATTTGAGTCCAACTTCAAAATAAAATAAAAGTTCTATTACAAAATGTGAGGATCGATAAAAAAAAACATATAATTTGCTATTTTTAAAACAATCCTTACGTCCTAGGTCTTTTTAGCAATATTTTAACGATCTTGGCTAGTCAACGTGTTGTTTTCTTTTTGCCACATTTACAATACAATTGTGTTTCGTTCGATTTATGTGAGGATTATTTGACACAAAAGTAAGGCAAAAATATCTTGGAGAAAATTTCAAATATTATCTAATATTTAAATGTGATTTTACTTGAATCTCTCTTTGTTAATGACGTCTAAAATCGAATATTAACTAATAAATAATTTTATTTTACTTGAATCTATCTTTGTTAATGGCATGTGTTTAATTGCTTTATTAATAGTGTAAATAAATGTTATCTAAAAGAATCAGAGATAAATGACTAGTTTATTAAGAGAGATGGTCGAATTCAGGCAAAATTCTCTTGAAAAAAAAGAGACTTCCTAGTAAATGACTTTTAAGCGTGTGTCGTATTACTCATTTTTAATAAACAAACACTGTGTGGATAAAACTCCCCATTAAATCCTCTGTAGGTAATAGAAACATCAGTTGTAAAAGTGACCAACAGTTTAATTGTTGTCGATGCAATCACTCCTGAGAATCCCCTACCACAAATTCGATCAAAACTGGGAGCATTCCTTGTATTCAGGTATTTTGAGTTTATTTGTGTTCAAATTCGTTATTTTCCAGTATCGAGTCAGCGATATGTAATAACTTTAAATGCAAAATCAATTACCCTTTACTCAACCCAATGTTTTTATTAATTTATAATTGTTTGTCTTTGTTTATCACTTGGATTGTTGGAGTTGTGGTATAGTTTGGCGATCAGAGAAATAAATGTGTAGGGGATTCCAAAGTGTTTCATAGTTTTCCATACTAATGACCTGTCTATATGTCTGCTGTGACAAGCAATTTTTAAAAATCTATAACGAATGAATGTAGAAATTAAAAACAAAATTACCGTGTGAATAGAACTCTCCATAAAATCCTCTGTACGTATCTCTGTAATTTGTTTTAAATAACATATCAAACAAACCAGGAAATCTCATGTGTCTGTACATTATTTTCATTAAAGATATCTCAGACTCATCATAAAATCCTCTGTACGTTCTAGCGTGGTTTGTTTTAAAAGTGACCAACAGGTTGTTTGTTGTCGATACAATCACATCTGAGACTCCCTCACCACAAACTTTCTTAGAACTTGGAGCATTTTTAGTAGCTCCGTCGTACACGGTGATATAGTCTGTGTCACAAGACTCTGTTTCCACAAAGGATATGCTACAAAACAAAATACATGTTTAGAAGTGCATAGATTTTTCTACAATGTCATTTGCATATTTGATTACGCTTTAATTTAATGTAAGTGGGATATTGACCTACTTTAAAATGAGACGGGTATCAGCACGAGTTGATAAGGTCCATGTAAATTCCTGATCATTCAAATAGCTTAAGGGATATCCAGGGCTTGCCAACTTGCCTGACTCAAACAGTTCACAATGTCTATCTGTTTTACACGATAGAAATAAATCAATGTACTAAAGTGCACTAATAAAATCTGAATACATTGCACATTCTCTATGCTGTGACGTAGATGTCTATACGAAAGTGTGTAGGCACGGATAGAGTGTGTGTGAGAGTGGCCTCCCCTTGAACGTGGTTTGCAAGCGTGAAAAGAAGTGTGTGAACGAAGGAGTGTGTGTGTAAGCATTGTGGTGTTATTTAAACATCGTGTACCTGCTAGTCAGTGTATCTTCTTGTGATTTGTTGTTGTGTTTGATGATAATTATACACCCATAAAACATATTCTCATTGTGAAGTGTGTTTCTTTTAAATTGTTACACCTGGCTCCAACAAGCCTAAAATACATAAGGCGCCGGCTGTAACAATGTTTATAATGGTTGTACATATTTGTTACGATCTAACATAAATTACAAAATCTTTCCTCCAATTGGATACCCCGCTTTAAGTTATATTTAGTCTTATACTAATTATTGTTTGATTTTTCTTTATAAAACAATTGTCACACGTATATTTTTAAAACTATTTTATTTTGATAAAAATGCATTTTACACAACCTTAACTATGCACAAAGATCGGTTATCCCAATTACCAATAGGAAAAAATATAATGTATACAATTACTTTAAGGGAAAAATAAACTGTAAAAGATAGAATGGATAAAACATTTGTCAGCTGTTCTGTTACATGTTGAAGCTAATTATAAAACTAAAAAGTTTACGTATCTAGGTACTATAGCTACGACCTCATTCTACATAAAGAAAAGAGCAATTTTAAATCTCGCTGCTTACAAGTTCTTAAAAGGTAAAGTTATTATATGTTTTCAAAATTTTAATAATAAAAATAAATTAATTAGGCGACCGATTAAGTCAAATAGAATGTTATGATGCATTGTCTTCATGTCTTGACCAACGTATCAACTACGAAACGTTTCTGTCAGTTAGAAGTGCCTGTAATTTCGCTCGGGCGTTTCGATCTAGACAGACATTTTGCAAAATGATTTTCGTCAGGAAGAGCTCTCATATTTGTCGTCAGTGTAAGTACATGCATGTGACGCAACAAAAGTTGCTTGTTAATGCAACATGCGACAATGAGTTCTTGGGAGCCACGCTGAATGACGGGGAGTATTTGTCGGAAATCTCCACCCAATAGTTTTGTTTTCCCTCCAAATGGGCGCGTCTCACCTGTGAGATCACGTAACAATCTGTCGACTGCCTAAAAAGCGTATGCATGTGTCATTGGCGCCTCGTCCCATATAATCAATTTGGATTGCAGAATATGTTGAGCGTGTTGCGAGATAGGTTTGATATTGCAAGTGGAAGGAGTGAGCTTCAGCTGGATTTTAAATATTGAATGTGCAGTACGTCCATCCGGTAACAATTTTGCAGCTATTCCTGTAGATGCAACGTTTATAAGAATGTCTCCCCTGGCTCTGATGGTATGGATCAGGGTTTTATAGACAAAGGCAGCTTTCATGGGGGGGGGGGGGGGATGCGAAACCGTGTGTAGACCTACCTGCAGCCTTGTGTATCTCAGTCGCTCTTGTGTCTTCAGTTGCTTTGGTATCTCCTACATTCGTCTGAGCTACGTTTGTCCACGAATCTTTGTTTTGATTGCCCCTTTGTTTCCTAACCATTGCCATCGCTTCACATATAATTCGTGGAGTCAACAGGTCTTTTCATATAGTCGAAATTCCTTCACCAGGTAACTGTTTATTCTTATCAGTCGCATATTTCTGGAAAATGTCATCGACGAAACTGTTGCTCTTGAACTTTGCAAAATGGCTGTAAGCTTTGTTTGCGAACATTGGGACAACTATGGCGACGTCATGTCCGTTGTTCTTACTAACGGAAGCACAGTCATACACTCTGCTCAACAATACGCTGCCTATATGAATACTTCCGGCGTTTATGGTGGCGAGGCAGAAGTTGTGGCGATGTCTTAAATACTTCCCAGTACTATAGCTATTTACTTTCGAAAACGTCCACTTTACCCTCCCCGAGTTTACAATCCGGGTCAACGTCTCTCCATTCCCCTGCTATTTAGCGGTCCTTTCGATCATGGCCATTATATAGTTCTCTTGCCTTTCACAAACACACGTGATGACCTTCTGGTGCCATCTGTTGACAACGTCGGCATGTGCACCAACAATACGCACCCATGTGATCTCCACACTGATGTGACGTCACCTGCCCACGCTCCTGTTACTGATGAACATTTACAAACGCCGGTTTTTTATTTCAACATTTGCTCAAAACAGTTCACACGAAAAAAATAATCTTAAAGCACATTTAGAAGCACACCGCAGTCAACAAGCGCATTCCACAAATGATTTAAATGCACCATTTGTTCCATAACCTTTCGACTACAGAGATATCTCAAAGCACATGTGAATATTGCCAGCAATGCTTCAAATCAACTCGCATTCTTATGAAGCACTTACAAACTAAACATATATATGTAGAAACACATTTAATAATATTTCTTTTTAGCATCTGCGACAGTTTCTCGCACGCAAATATCTTATTAACCATTTGAAAACTCATGCCCTGACGAAATCCATCTTTGAGTGAGTACATTGCAAACGTTCTTTTAAACAGTCGCATCTTCTTGCAAGCCACATTCACATTCATCACATTCAACTTTCCGCTGCGTTTCAAGAACACACTGCCATTTCCATTGAGGAACATGACATTGGACTACATAAAGCACTATGTACTTCTTGCAATGCTCTTCATTTGCCATTAGAGGTTAACAAATCCGGACATTACACTAAATGTTGTCATTACGGCAACACTATATGTCTTCTGTTCGACTCGCGGCGTATCATACGCCGATATTTGGCTGTTTTCTTTTCTACTTTTCAGTAATTCATAATTTGTAATTTCGGCAGCACCATTGCTGCCACTGAAAACATTTGCTTTAAAACACTATCAGTAGGTCGTTAATGACGAACCCCCCCCCCCACCCCCCCCTCCTTTCCCCTAACCCCTATCCCCCCACCCCCAACCCCGTTAAAGCAGCTTGTTTTCCCGTCTGAACGATGGACAGAAGGAATTATTCTTTCACATCCTCAATTCCTTTGGAGGGATATCAGTTTTGCTTGTCGGTGATTTGAACCAGCTACCTCCAGTTATGGATTACCTTATTTATAAGGTGGAAGAAGACAACGAGTTTTGGGATTTAATGGATCGAAATCCCCTTTGGGACCTGTTTACCTTGTACGAATTGAAACAAAACATAGGCCAAAAGAATGAAATTGATTTTCTTTTCTTGAAGCGCTGAATGCATTAGCAAGTGGAAACATGGCACAAAAACATGTTGAACTGTTAAAGTCGAGGCAAGTGTCGCCGTCAGCAGTATCAAACAGTGCAATCAGATTGTACGATAAAAATGAGTGTTTCGATCTTTATAACCAGGAAAAATAAAAAGTAACCCGGGACCACATTACGTTTTCACTGCTAAATATACCATATTCGGAAAACTGCATGGACTAAAGAGAAAAAAATTGAGTGAAGTAAATGGCCTACCACACAGCATCATTTTAAAACTAGGAATAAAATATGCAGTAACAAATAACATAGACGGAGAAGATGGTCTCGTAAACAGAGCGTGCGGAGTCCTAAGGCTGATATCATTCGATAACCAACAACCAAGTACCAAAGATACTCTGGTTAGATTTCTCCACACACAACGTTGGTAAAAAGGCAAAGATGGCCCACAAACGGCTCATTTGATGACAATAACCTTGACTCACATTTAGTGCCCATAAGGAATGTTTGCGTTCCACTGATTGTTTCAAACAAACTTCGGTACCCGACATTAAGAACTCAATTCCCCGTGGTAGCTGCAGTAGCAATTACCATCCACAAGAGCCAAGGACAGACATATGAACAGGTGGCGTTGGATTTCAACAAAATAAAAAGGATAACTAGGCCTTTGCTGTAGGTAGCTTTAATCAAAGTTTCAAGCATCACAGGACTGTACATTGTTAGAAACTTTAGGTTCCCAAAATACTCCATGCATGTGGACCCAAGCCTGCAAGAGCTCTACAGATTAAGGACAGCTAAGTCTTTAAATTTGCCGCTCCGTATATTTAAAGACTCAACAGGATTCAAAGTAGCATATCAGAATGTATGCTTTTTAGCGAATAAATTGCAATACATTAAAGGTAACAATTGGTATTTTCAAAGTGACTTACTGATATTATCCGAAACTTTGGCATCTGAAAACGAAGAAATTTGTCCTTGATAATTATAAAGTATTATTTAAGAAGTGATCCATACTGCGGTACTAGAGGTATCATTTGCTTAATGAAACACAGCGTTTGCGGTGTAAGTGATGTCATAATTACAGTATTGAAACTGGCACAAACTATCATGTAGATTTATTTGCGGTTACTATCTGTAGAATGACCATCATTGCTGGATACAAGTCACCTAGCACGGCAATCAGTTTGTTTCGAACAACTTTCCAAATATTTTTGTGTAAAGTAAAATTTGTTGAATAAATTGTTGTGATTGGAGATCTGAACTTCAACGTCTTGAACAATGCCAGCAGTGACTTGCGTGACTTTTTCAAGCAATATAAACTTATATCTGCCTTACCAATGGAAATCCCAACCACAGATTTAAATACACACATAGATGTCATATTTTCAACAACTTCAAGAGTGTATGAAACGTTTTTCTCTTACCATAAGCCTGTATATTTTATATTCAATGACAATAAAATTTCTTACCAAAAGAAAAAACGGACTCTGTCACGATGGTCGCTCCTCCAAAAACAGTAAGGCGAATTGAAAATGAAATTAGACCACCATTCAACACACCTTCTGATAAATACGTTATTAACACCTGCTAGGACCTTAAATCAAGAGAAATGTGTGCACCATCAGCCTCTAAATGCCAGTTGTCAAAATGAGACAGCCGTCAGGACACCTACTGGCAACAAAACCACTAGAGATTGTGGCTATGGACTTTACGTCGTTGGAGCAATCATCGGATGGGACGGAACATGTGTTGGTGATGACTGACGTATTCACCAAATGGACTGTCGCGGTGCCCACACGAGATCAGACGGCTAAAACAGTGGCAAAGGTCTTAATAGAACATTGGTTCATCAAATATGGCATACCAAGACAATTACACTCTGACCAAGGAAGGGCCTTCGAGTCAGAAGTAATTAACCAACTGTGCAGCCACTACGGGATCAACAAATCTAGAACAACCACATATAATCCTAAAGGAAACGGACAGTGCGAGCGGTTCAACCGCAGCATGCATGATTTGCTGCGTACTCTAGAACCTGAACAGAAAAAACGTTGGCCTGATTTTCTCCCAGAGTTGGTATATCTATACAACTGCACCCCCCATGCCACAACCGGCTTTTCGCCACACATGTTACTGTTCGGACGGGAGGCTCGACTCCCTCTTGACTTGTTCCTAGGAAAAAAGGAAAGTATGACTGGCTCATACACCGCACTGGAATATGTGAATGAACATATGAGACGAATAAGAGAAATGTACAGGGTAGTACAAGGAAGACTAGAATATGAAGCACGGCGAAGAGAACCGCGGGTACAGACAAAAGACCCGCCACTCCAACTGAACGACAAAGTATTATTGCGTAGCCACCCTTTGGGCAGAAACAAAATTCACGACCTCTGGGGACAGGAGATATGGTAAGTCGTGGAGATGCCTAAAGTAGCAGGTGGCCCCTTTAAGATAAGACCCACCAATCACACCAAACCGGATCGGTGGGCGAATATTGCTCAATTAAAGAAATATTGGCAGAGGCAAGAAGAGCATTTACATACAAAGAAACCTAAGACAATTAGGGAACCGGAAACTATAACGGAAATTCACATACCCATCCCGGAACCATGTCACCATCAACAGAACAACAGCGATACACAAGTGGAGGATAACGGCAACAAAGAGGATTCCGTTCCTCCCAGAAGCAGAGAGACAGTAGACCATCAGATAAGTGGTCCGCGGAGAAGTTTGAGAAACAGAAAGAATACGAAATTTTTCGTCAGCAACCATCAATTCTTTCATGGTCGCGCTGGGATGAGAGCAGACTGTTCAAAAGCTAGAAAATTGAACTGGTGAAGACACCAAACGAAAAAAGGTGGATGTGAATTCTAGAACTGCTTTGTGTCTGAGGAATATGATGAAGACACATTTGATATGTGAAATAGTGATAACTGTCAATCTTTTACGAATGTGACGACATTGACAGTGAGTGGAACAATAAATTTTTTTTTACGGCGGTGCGTTGGACATTGAAGGAGTGCACCTGCCAAGCGTTGTTTGTGGTTAAAAACACACAAAAAAAGGCGGGGGTGGATGTAACTAGGGTAGTTACCATACTATGGTTAACAACGTATTACAGTCTGATGCAATAGTGCAGATGGTAGACTGATAACGATCATAAAGCCACGGCGTATTTTGGGAAGGATACGACAAGCCGCTGCGCAGTTCACAGTCTGTCAACTTTGACATGACCAAGGCCAAACGGGGCTGACGGAACAGGATGCAGGTGTGTGGACTGATAACAAAAGTCTAATAAAGACTGGTACGAGACAACTGCGTAGTAAGCGGAATGCGAGATAATCGGATTGAACATAGCTATGATAGA